TTTGTATCTGGCACATGTCAAACCCATTTGCAGCTTAAAGGTCAAACAGGGATTGTCACTCACTAAATTGGCTTGCCATTAAGTCTTATGATCGCCTTCGTATGAAATTGTTTTTTGTTGTTGTTGTCGTTTCACTAGTTCGTGTTTTACTAGTCCGCGTTTACTAGTCCGCGTTTACTAGTCCGCGCCTTACTAGTCCACGTTTTACTGGTCCAGTCCAGTCCAGTCCAGTCCAGTCCAGTCCAGTCCTCGAAATACCATATGCCTCTAAAGGAACATGTTGTTTACTTGTGGTTTCGTTGCTCTGCTGGTGATAACGCCTAACCCGTTCTATGCGAGACGTAAAGTTCAAGCTCCGACGAAGCTTGATGTCTTTATTAAGGTTTATTTTAGAAATGTGTCAATTGCGCTTCACCTGCTGGGATCAATTGGTTACTTATCATCCACCGTCTTAAAATATGGTTAGGTTCATACATGATTAATTAATAGGAAGGGAATTTTTATCACCGGCGAACAATCAGCTATCGAAGGTATGGTCACCATCTGTGATAAACATACAGTACAACTGGAAAAAAAATTATATTTCATCGATGCAAGCATCTGGCTAAATCAGCTGAGGGCAGAAAAATGTAAGCAGAATCTAAATTAGTGGAAGGTTAGTACAGCGTGATATCCTGTCACAAACCAAATGAGAACAGCCCATGTGGATATTTGGCATTTTTACCTCGCGGAAAATACCACCCAAATTAATTCTAAAGTGATATATTATGGAAAATGATATGTGTTGAGAAAAATATATATCTTCGTATAATTTTCCGATATCACCACTTTTCTGGAGTTCCTCGATAAAATTTTTATATCCCGTTCAAAAATTCAAAAGTTTGTTTTCATTGTAGTTTTTATTCATAAAGAAGCGTCTTCATAAAAAAAGTGTTAAGCTGTCTCTTCGTATTTATATATTTTGATTTCAATTTCGGTTTCTGCTCAAAAGCCCCTCGTCTGACTATTAAATTGTAGCGACCGATTGAAAGGTTGAGCTCTTCACAGAGTGAAAAAAACAACATCACATATTCATGTTTTTAAAATCATTTTTGACTGCGTCTATGAATTAATTTGATATTGGGTGAAGCCTTCGTAATAAGATTCTGTGAAGGTGAAGTTCAAGGTGATCTTTTGCGTGAATTACTCATTACTGAAAATACAATAATTAGATACATTCAGGAAATCGCAGGTGTCGATATTTTTTGGTCTGTGGCTGAAAGATAAAAATAAATATATTAGAAATTACCTTCTATTCAGCTTTGGCTTAAATCTCTCAAAATTAAAAGTTAAATTGTATTGTAGATTCGTTTTTTATTTTAAGTGATTACAATAAACAGGAATTAAATACCTAACAATTACCGCTAGCATTTTAGTCTTTTTGTGGGCATGAAACTAAAATAAACCGCGTTTACTGTATGACATATTTAAAAAAAAAAACGGCTTGTTATCCCTACATCTTTCTTGAACATTCCTAGACGGTCAGCACTTCTTTGATCTTCTTTGAGTTGTTATGTTCGAAGGAAACCCCGATACGAAACCTTTGACCTTCTTTAGATGATGCGATAAATGGGCAATGGCCTCACCAGACGACAGACAGACAGCACTCGTCCTACAATGCACTTGTACTGTCCTGTTCAGAAATACTTTTTTTCAGTATGTGTCAAATAAGAGCGAGGTTAATGAGGTGTTTTCTCAAAAAAATACCTTTAAACAATGCACACGCTTTATTTCAAACACAATTTAATAACAAATAAATTGCTGTGCCATTAGCGATTTACATTACAGTTAAATGTTATGGTAGGATTCTATGCATAAAAATAGTTTACGAGCTATCATATTTTGATATTTCAGTCGATAATTAAGAAGCTAATGGCCTCTTCTAATCTTGTTGAGTTAAGTATTTTCAGATATGTATTTTCGCTGAACATCCCACACACGACAATACCCCACTGCTAGAAAAATCTAGTGAGGTTGGTCGTGTTTTTATTCTCAAGTTTGTCTGAAATCATCTAAGAGACGAGCAGTCGAACCTCTGAGGTGGAAAACTGTGAGTTTGAGTCCAAACCTGTTCTTCTAACACCTCTACAATGTAAGTTTGCGTTGACACGAGTTGAGTCTGATTGTTACAGCTATAACATTTAACACCGTGACTGAAGTAAGCTTTGTTTAAATCCTTTTCGACGCGCACGGTAAATTAACGGCAGATAGACATATCCACTCTCATATCGCAGTTGTTTACCTTCAAAAACTGTACAAATTTGCCTTGATCTTGCAAGTGTTGGATAACCAAACCGTCGTACATTTTTTGTTTTTGTTATTATTATGGTAGACCTCAGAAATGAAACTATTGTCTAACGCTTGTACGACTCCCTTATGTCAATTTAATAACATGTGTGTCTTGAGCGGTATTGACATTGTAATCGATTATATGTATTTTTTTACTGCCTGTAGGCCAAATGCAGTAAAAGTACAAACTGATGGAAACTTTGGAAATTATTAAGTTGATAGATATATATTCTAAAAGACGGGTAAAATAAGGTTTTAAATGTCAGACGAGCGGGAATTTTCGGCCAACTAACTTGACCAACATCATAAGTTATCAGTGCTCTGTTTCAACAGCATCTTCACATCCTAGTCAATCCGGCCGTAAAGCTTCTCTTTACACTTGACAATTTCTAGCTCACCTTGCGTCTTGATACTATTGAGTTTCATGCTTTGAAGTCATACCGTTCCGTGCCTAGTCTCCCCGCAGCCGTGATGTTTCGGTCACGCAACGCTCCCTCAGAGAGGGAGCGTTGCGTGACCGAAACATCACCGCTGCAGGGAGACTATTTCATCTGACTTGTCAATCACCGTTTATGACAAATCAAGTCATTTTCCTGTTTGCATTTCATTGATTACGCGACTGTTAGTAGCTTCAACGAGTCAAGTCAGATACTTCGTAAAAATAGGTGGGAAACTTCAAGCAATTTAAGCCTCAATTTTAGCCTTTTTAATGAAATGTTTTGCGTAATCTTTATAACTATTTCTAACATTTATATGCTAGCTTTTCATGAGCATATAGAGGTCCATCAATACATTGTTACCAGGATGTTAATTTTGATTTTCTAGTGACATTCTGTTTGAGAGTACCATACTATTGCAGCTCAAATTCATAACTTTATCACTAAGAATGAAAGCACATAAAACTTAAAAGTCAAGTTATTATTGATCATCATCATTCGAAAACGCTACGAATTTTAAATTTAATGATATTGAATCAAGCAAATAAAGGATTGGTTACTTTCACCACGCTCCCAGACGCAATTGTTGAGAAATTTGTATCGTAATTGGTGTTCCAGAGATGACAGTCTGTGAATGGCACGTTCCAACCCTGATCTCCAAGATTACCGTCCATAAAAATTGGAAGGTCGTAAAACGGCAGCTAAAAAGCAGAATCTTCGGAGATTCTGTATGTTTTTTATACACGCGGCTGTAGATATTGCAGATTATGTTTCAGTAGCGACAAAGCCACATTACAGTTAAAGATCTCACGTTCCTGGCACGATCTCTGCAATTTGCTCTTTATCTGATGAGTGAAGATTGCCATCCTTGTGGCAAGAAGATCGTTACCAGCCTGGATCGTAATGAGATTTCGTGATACACCTTAGCACTCGGGTTAAGTTATCGCTTCACGAAAAGAAAAAGCAAGTGCTTATTCATTCGTCTGCTTAAAAGATTTAAATCATGATTCCAGTGCGTCGATTTATGAGATTTTTGGTTCCACCAAGCAAGAATTCGCGCGTTGTTTGCCAGAGGAAAGTGAGACGTGGGCACAATCATCGCTGACTACCGGAACACTCTATATGACCAAAGGCATTTTAGTGTTTGAAATCGATACTCAAATCAAGAGTGTTTGCAGGTTATCACGTTTACAGAACAAAAGGTCAAACTTTATTGACATGTGTGTGCATTAAAGTTTCCAGTGTCGAACGAACACCGTTCCACGTTTTTGATACGATTCAGCGCATTGCTTTAAATCTCCAGGTAAAACAATTTACTGGTGCGTTGGGCAGTATCAAGAAGGGAAGAGTAACTAGGGATTCACGGATAGCCGGTTAAGGTACGGGGTGGCTGTAATACCGTTTATCGACTTCATCGTAAGTGCGGTACAATTCAAGTTAGTTAGAGTCGCTCCTGAAAGTGTTTGTGTACGAATTTACTAAAATGATCCTTAAGAAATTTCAGTCATTGAAAAATGTTCGACTACGTTGCAATGAGGCATGTCTGAACTGCACACTGGGGCCTGACGCTAAGCCAATTAGCCCCGGGATGGCTATAAATTGAATTTAAACACTTGTTTTATTCAGAAAATCATTGTTTCTGAATCAATTTTGTCCGAAAACAACTTTAAATCTCTGTTTCACATATCATTGAACGATTAAAGGCTACTCTAGGTACTCTAGATCAAAACCCTTTAAGTATCGACACGTTAAAACACAGCGGATTATAACATTCCATGATAATTTGACGACGAAGATTTACGTACGCAATTGAACATTTTTTGTACATTCTTTCGAAGCAAAGTATCGAAGTCACCATCGATGAATGGATTATTTAATTTTTATTTTCATGAGACGAATCTGTCCTTCCATTCATGAACTGCATTTTTAAGATTTTTGTTACTCGCATATTTTTTATCGCCTGAAGGTACCTAAATTCTAATTTGAAACACTGCGAAGCACCTCTGAAACTTTTGAACCAGAAGCAAGTTGCACGCTTTGAGATGCTCTGAAATTAAAATTATGATATCGCTAGTACTCAGTGATACCTACACAGACATATACTCTTAGATCTTTCCTTGGACAGTTTAAAATTCAAATCTAAAGGGATTTGTATGACGCACGATCCTCGCAGTAGATAGCGCTATTTAAGCAATAGGGAAAATCAGACCTGAAAAAAATCAGGCCTGTACGGGATTCGAACCACTGACCACTGCGATACTAGTGCAGCGCTCTACACTAGTATCGCAGAGGTCAGTGGTTCGAATCCCGTACAGGCCTGATTTTTTTCAGGTCTGATTTTCGCTATTGCTTAAATAGCGCTATCTACTGAGAGGATCGTGCATCATACGTATCTAAAACCGCAGTTCAAAATATATGAACTTCATATATTTCATTGTAACCTAAAGGGATTTGTCATCAAAGTTGGTACAAACGTTGAAAGTAATCTATACTTATTCTTACACCTTGAGGAGTTTCTGTTTCTCTATAATCCAATTTACTGAATTGATGGTTTTAAAATATCAGCAATCGAGTGCATTGTTGTAAGTTGGACGGTTTTAATGAGCTTATGAAACCTTTTTTTAAACCTCTCTTTTCAGATCTTCAGCAGCATGCAGATGTCAAACCGCAGCACTGACATCCCGCCCATAGTCCTCACAACAGATAATGTTTATACTGAGGTCCCAAGAACTCCGCTTGTGATAACATTGGCGTTTCTTTCATTTGGCACTGTCCTCGGGAACTGCGTGGTATGCTTCGCCATCTACAATCATCCTGCCTTGCGTCACGTGACCTACTTGTCAATTTTCAGCCTGGCAATCGCGGACTCTTTAGCAGGCCTGGTTGCCATTCCAAGTTATATCTTGAAAAAGTTTACATGGGATGAACCAACGCAGACAATTGTATGCGATATTTTTCGTTCGTCATATTTCCTGACGGGTTATGCTTCCATTCTAAGTTTATCAGTCATCAGCGTAGAGCGCCTGATCGCAGTAAGAAATCCGCTGAACCATATAACTATTGTCTCACGTCGTCGAGTAGTCCTGGCACTGGTCTTTGCCTGGGTGGACGCCCTACTGGTTTCATCCCTTCCTTTTTTCCCATGGGAACAAGATAATCCCTATAAGGAATGCACCTACAGTCCGACTCACTGGTGGAGCATCATGGTCATTATAACCAATGTAATGACTCCATTTCTTGTCATTGTAATTTGCTACAGTTTCATGTATCTAACAGCACAATCCCACGTCAAGAAAATGTCACAGAGTAGTAGGCAGCTATCACACAATAATAAAAATGCCGCCAAGAATCACAAGGAACGCCGAGCAAACATTACCATAATGATCGTCATTGGCGTCTTTGTGGTGTGCTGGTTTCCATCTTGTTTTTATTACTTCCTTCAGAAAACTTGCCCGGAATGCTTTCCTGAAACATTCAAAGCCAAACAGAGTCTTGTTAATGCACTGGTAAAGGTTCTGACTTTTGCATCGTCCTTTGTGAATCCCATAATTTATTGCTGGAGAAGTCGTGAGTTTAGAAGCGTATTTCTAAAGATTTGCCGCCGAAAGAAACGCAACTTTTCCAACTCATTCTCCAGTTATTTTAACATTCGCAGCTCACGAAAAAACAGTAGTAATCAGAAAAGGCCTCGACGTTCTACGATAGAAGAAGTGGTTGTTAACAATGAAGTTCTAGAATTACTAGCAAAGAGCAAATCAAGTGCTGTGTAAAACATTTTACTTGAAAACAATAATTTCCGGTTGATCAGTCAGTTGTATCAAGCCAGAAACCTAAATAGCGGTTAATTAGCAACTATTCACTGAAGTGGAAGCAGCTAGCTAGTGGTGGATACTAGCCAAGCCACGAAGCGGCGAGGTTAATATCCACGGTTAGCTACCAATGCTGAGGTGAATAGTTGTTTCAGTATAACTTTTATAAAACAGTGAGATAAAACAACACAAGGAGAGGATTTTGATTCATTTATTCTTGTGACGATTACAATTTTTTGGTGCACAAATTCCGCGCGAGTTGCTCGAAAGTTAAGACCAAAGAATATGCAGAGTTGGAGTAACCGATCAGAGCGCATCATCATCCCTATCCATTGTTTTCACTATCATCATCAGAGCGCACCATCATCCCTATCCATTGTTTTCACTATCATCATCAGAGCGCACCATCATCCCTATCCATTGTTTTCACTATCATCATCAGAGCGCACCATCATCCCTATCCATTGTTTTCACTATCATCATCAGAGCGCACCATCATCCCTATCCATTGTTTTCACTATCATCATCAGAGCGCACCATCATCCCTATCCATTGTTTTCACTATCATCATCAGAGCGCACCATCATCCCTATCCATTGTTTTCACTATCATCATCAGAGCGCACCATCATCCCTATCCATTGTTTTCACTATCATCATCAGAGCGCACCATCATCCCTATCCATTGTTTTCACTATCATCATCAGAGCGCACCATCATCCCTATCCATTGTTTTGACTATCATCATCAGAGCGCACCATCATCCCTATCCATTGTTTTCACTATCATCATCAGAGCGCACCATCATCCCTATCCATTGTTTTCACTATCATCATCAGAGCGCACCATCATCCCTATCCATTGTTTTGACTATCATCATCAGAGCGCACCATCATCCCTATCCATTGTTTT